AAAGCGGCTATGTTCAGAAGATTTACATCATGTACCTTCTTATTGTGTTGGCTGTTCTTGCCGCGCAAGCATTCACCTTTGGTGACGATGATTTCACCATGGCTTTGGTAGGAAGGTTTTGTTTGTTATTTCAAATGTTATGGTTTTATTCTTTCTGATGGCTTGTATTTCAAAAACGTTAACTGACCTGCAGAATCACATTGATTTCATAGTCTGAGAATACAGTCGACATTTCCTGATGCCTTTACTGTCGGGTTTCCTCGCGAAATGACGACCACCGTCTGAGAAACGAACGCAAAAATTTTCACACTGATGACGCGCCACTACCCAGATCTGGGTAGTGACATGTAGTAACTTCATCAGTACGGAAGTTTTGTTTCTCAGACATCATTTCGCGTGGAAACCAGCGGAGACGTCGCAAAATGTCGACTGTTTTCTCAGGATATCACTTTCAGAATCAGCCGGCCGGCATTCATAAGAGTCCCGATTCCCTTAACCTTTTAAGCCCTAAGAGTGATCAGCATGAAATTTCTCCTCATAATATCAATGCTCTAGAAAACAGTGGTCATGAGAATCGAGTACACGATAAGTGAAGATAAGTCTATAAGTCCAATTGATAATTCAATAAATTCTCCCCACTACTTCTATTGAAAAAGTGTAGGGACAGTAAATGAGAATCTCAGTCTTAATATTAGGGTTTAAAGGGTTAACGCTAACGTGCGCCTTATCTGCCTAAATACCATAAACTGCCGCAGCATTTATAGGCCTCCACTCCCAGTTATAGGCCCATACATCCGATTGCAAGCCCACTCGAATATAAGCCACCCACCCCCACCCTCCCCCCTCTGAAGTCAACATATTGTGACGTTTTGAAGCTCAATTAAAAACCTGTAATTACAAAAAGTATTTTGATCAGTAGTGCTCTAGATAGTTTCGAAGCTAACCGCTTTTTCTATTCTTGTTACAAACCCTTCAGATGTAAACCCCTGCGTTTGTAAGCCGTCCTAAAATCCTTTTCTAGCATGTATAAGGCAAAGGTTTACGTCATAGTGTCTTGGATGTTACAAAAGCTTAACTATTGCGAGGGGGAAGTGGGTAAACTGGGGCGTTGTAGTCCTTCAGCTACCGTGGAATTATCGATATTACTCATGAAATCGGTTTTTCTTTCGCCAGAATTTCTTGAAAAAGTATCAATACATGTCTTCGACACGTTCTGGAAATTACATGAATTCAGCTTTAAAAAAGTTCCAACAATTTACTGGTTTGCATGTTACTGGTATTCTGGATAAGTCCACTATCGACCAAATGAAGAAACCTCGTTGTGGAATGCCGGATTTTAGAGGCCACGTCAAGCGTTTTGCTGCCAATTCCAAATGGAGTAAAACACATCTGACTTACTTTGTGAGGAAGTATGGCGCTGATTTAAAGAGATCAACGCAGGACAAAATATTTGCTAAAGCCCTGAAGCTCTGGTCCGATGTATCGGGATTGTCCTTCTCTAAAGCGAGAAATGGACTCTCTGCCGATATAAAGATAAGGTAAAAATTTAACATCTTTCACCCTCTGGGTTTTCATTAGAAGTTAAAGGGAATAAAAGACTAATGTATAGATTTATCCAGAATTAAAAGTGAAAAAACTTCAAACGGTGAACTTGAAACCATTGAGAAGAATCCACAGATCCATACTTGACTTAGGGGAAGACCATGTTACGTTTGAGGAAGAGGCTTTATAGTCAAGAAACAATTGCTGCTGCAAAAAGGGAACTTGAGCTTGAGATCAATTAAAAGCTAATAACTGGTCAGCGAAAAACCGTAATAAAAGGCGTGGCCCTGATTAGTTGAAACCTGAGCCGGCCATAAGGTCTTGTGATACTGGTTATCGGATACCCTGACAGCCGTCAGTGTCAATTGACCATAACATGGACGTCTATCATCAAGTTCTAACACAGATTGCAGGCTCCCACACAAATCAAAAATGCTCCCTGTGGTGCGAACGGTAGGTATGAATAGATTGTGCTAGTAAATTCAGGAAAGGTGCTTCACAATATACCCAAAAGTTGCTCTAAAGTAGCTCAAATATCAAAAAGTTGCCACCAAAAGTTAGAAAAGTTGCTTGCTCTAGAGTCGTTTTTTTTAAGATAAATACTCAAAACGTGTTTGTTTGTTTGTTTGTTTGTTGCCATTTAAACATTTTCATTAAATATTCTTACAATGATTAAAAGAGGCCAAAAGCCATTGTTATATGACAAATATAAATACTATGTTGCAATCAATAATTATACTCTTACAGATATACAGATAGCCGCTGTCCAGATTTCATGGGCGTAATGCAAGTGTTATTTTATTGTCATTTTATTGTATATCCTTAGTTTTAATAAAATCAGTTTTGATAAAACCAGTTTTAATAAAATCCTTCGAAATGAAACGACCTTTTATGGTTTGGATCGGTTTTATATCAATTTGTTGCTCAAAAGTTGCCAAGGAAGGCAAAAGTTGCCCTAGGTTGCTGGTACTACAAAGAGTTGCTCAAAACGCTAAAAGTTGCTCAAACGTTACCGAGCACAATCTATTTATGCCTAGCGAACGGACAGGCGGACGTACGGTCACGAGACCACCCACAATTTCTCGGTTTTCGTAACACCTTTCGTTTTCACAAGGATTTTAAACGGAGTGATTGAAAGGCAGAAGCGCATGCTACTCCTTAAATAGGGTGACACATAAAAAAAATATGCGGTGCCAACTTTCCTCACTTGCAGCTGATGGCTGAACTGCGGACGAACCAGAGAGGTGAGATCGAACGTCAGCATGTAAAGGCGCACTCTTGCAGCCACTTCAGTCCATGTTTTTATCACACCTCGCCCACACAGGCCAAGTCAGATAGCCCATGACATCGGGGCTACGTCCCCTACTCTTTTCGAACAATGTCACGGGTTCTTTTACGTCCCCTTACAACTAGAGTACAAGGATGAAGGAGACAAGGCCAAGGGCTTAACGTCACCGCCCAATGACGCGATCATCTGAACTTGGAAAGGGGTTTCACATGATATATGCTGGTACTTCAAGTTTGTAATTGGCCCCTAGTACTCGTGACCTTGATTGAGAGCATGGACATTTTAGTTTTAAATTTCTTTTCTCAGTTTTGGTAATAGGAACCACCCAGGGGGAAATGGAGGAAGATGCCCAGATCGATTCGATGGACGTGGTGGACAGCTTGCGCATGCGTTCATGCCTGAAGACGGCCGTGCTCACTTTGATGAAGCCGAAACATTCACCGACAACAGCCCCCAAGGTACAAACCTTCTGTGGACTGCCACCCACGAATTTGGTCACGTGCTCGGTCTGGATCATTCGAGTGACAGAGATGCCATTATGTTCCCATACTACCCAGATTTTTATCATCCTAATTTAAGCCTTGAACCGGATGATATCGCTGGTATTCAATCACTTTACGGTAGGAAATCTTTAGCTGTATCTCCATGTCTGAAGACTGTAATTGGGTCAGTGTTCACATAAGTGCCCAGCGAGTACGGTGCTCGGGCACCGAACACGGACAAAAATGTGAACGCTGCCTAAATCTGAACAATTACCCCGGTGGGAGGTAGCAAATTTGCCAAAAATGACAAAAGTACCCACCTTAAAGTCAAGACTATCAGATTTATTTACATAATGGGGATTGCTTAAGGTACCATGTTTTGGATCCGCTTATGTAAACCGTGCCCATACCTAAAGAAAAACAGTTACAGTCAAACCCCTACGGACACTGAGGGGGCCATAAAAAGAGTCCGTATTAACGGGGTGTACTTATTAATCGGGTCGAATTTATAGAGAAAATGTAAGGACTTTCGTTCCCAGGGAACAAAGCAAACTGTTCGTAATAATGAGGTGTCTGTATTAAGCGAGTGAATAGGGAGGTTAAGATGTTACTACGACGACGGCAACGAAAACGTCAAAAAAGCCACATAACGCGTTTCGGACATTTCTTTGCCGTCACTGCAGGACTACGACGTGAATTGCCTAATTTCAAGTTTTATCGACAACGTGAACACACGACGACGAAAGTCTCTTTCTCTTTTACAACTTGAATATTTTTCTTGAGAATTCAACTGCAGGAAAATTCGCCTACATTAGACAAATTTAGCGTGTTGGGATAATCGCGCCGAAGTTTTCGTTGCCGTCGCTGTCGTGGTATCTAGAACTCCCTACTGTTCGTAAAGCGGGGTTTGACTGTTTTTCTATTTGTTCATTTCTTTACAGAAAATAAGAGAAAATAGTAATTAGTATAAAAATTACATTGATGATTATCAAAAAATAGAGCGCTATGATTGGCTAGGAGCTTCGCTTTATCCTGCTATAATCACCGCGCGGCGATTATAACATTGAAGGACAGCAGTTTTCAAAATGGCAGCCAGATTTTTTGATGTTTCGGAGATGAAAATTGATCAATAATTTTATTTTCCCGAATAATCATCAATGTGATTATACTAAATCAATTAGTCGCCTCAGGCGACGTGAATATCGGCGAATAGTCACCTCGACTTCGTCTCGGTGACTATTCGCCGATATTTACGTTGCCTGAGGCGACTAATTGTTAATTATTATCATGATCAGAAAGAATGATATTTGCTTAGACTAACCTGGATCTCTGTTTTTTGTTTTAATTGCAGGCAAATAACTAAAGAAGGAGCAAGTAAGTTTTGTTAAAAATTAAATTAAAATACTGCAGCTAAAAAAATTAAGCCGAACTCCTTACACCCAGGTTAAAAGGGCAAGATGAATAAAACCCACGGAAGAAAAGAAAAGGAAAAAGGTCTGAAGAGGACAATAAATGGAAAACTGTATTTTCTAGTCATACGAATTTTTAAGCTGAAAAGCTGTTCAAACAGCTTAAACTAAAATTATGTGATATTATATGAGCCTATAATTAGGCTCCAACCACTCGCTGTCCTCTCACAGAAGAAGTAAAGTCTCCAGAGAGAAAACATTTTGTTAAGATAAAGTATTTATATTATGATTCTCCCTTTAGTCTTCTTGTTAATGCAGTATTAATTTTCGTCTCGTATAATAAGAATTTTTTATTTCTTTTAGACATGCATGAGCAAGGCGAGGAAGTTGAGAAGCGCCCGCTATAGGATTTACAAGAATTACAAAAAAAGTAGTCGAATGAGAATCAGGCTATGAACTGTGTAACTGATTAAAAAAGAGTTTGGAGAATCAACAGAAATATCTTATTTTATGTGAGTTAGTAGACTGCAATATGGCCATATTTTTGCATTGGTTGACGACGGATTGACCGTCAATCGAAAGTTCCCGGAGCGAGTGTGAAATTAGAAACAGATCGAGACTGTGAATAGATGCTGTCGGCACGAGGTGCTTAGATTTTGGTGGAAAGAACCCGACTGTTTTTGCTACTAGGGGTTCTTCCATAAGCAAGAAAATTTGATATCAAATAAGGTTTCCCAGGCACTTTGTTTTGTTCATGACGCTAGGTTTTTGGAAAAGCGCGCGCCATATTGAATGCTAGCAGAGAAAGGATTTTTCCCAAGTCATCTGTCATCCGAGTAGCTGTGAATTAGTTTAACACAACTGATCCGCAACGTTATACAGAATAGAAGAAAGACAAAATGGGACTTAATTTGTTAAATTTCACACGCCCAGCCGTTAAACTTTTGTCAAATTGTCATTAAAATGGCGGCCACCAGGAATCTGTGAAGTAGGCCTAAACATAACATGTGATTGAGAAAAGCGGGGGAAAGAGAACTCCGCCAGATAAATTTTCTATCACGAATCAGAATTGCCAAACGCCAACCAACCTCCCTCCAATCGAATTCCCACGAGAAGCTCAAGAAATGATTTTGTACTTGGGGAAATCAAAACAACAGCTATGTTTTGACGTCCTTCTTCAAAAAGCTAGCAAACTTTTTTTTTTATATTGGAGCATTATCAATTTGCTCAGAAACTGTATTTTAGCCTGCTTTGCAGCCGGCCCACGCACTCGTCAATTCAGCGTTTAGAACCTCTATTCGAATATCGAAAAAAAAAAAAAAATCGGTCACAAGAAGGAGAAAACACATAAGCCCGGTATAGAGTTTATTCACTACTGGGATCAGGTGAATTATTATACGTTTCTGGGAAACTGCCCACCTACTCCTCCCCTAAGCCAACATTAACCTTTACTGCTCACTTAGGGCAAAATATTGGCTTGGGGGAGGGGTAGGTGGGCAGTTCATTCAAGCCTTGTTGAAAGAACATCTACCCTAACTTCAGTCAATCAGAACAGGGCTTTTCAAGAGTATTGTTTCTGAGCCAATCAGAAAAAGGCCAGTTCCTATAGCTTTTTTTACATGTGATCTGATAAATAAATGTATTTGATGCCCTCTCCCTACCTGATTTGGTATTGGTGGATCCGTTTGCCTATTTCGGGTCGGACTTTTTGTACCACCAAGTCTCCATTCGCACATCTCTTATAATGCACTTTGCCTGCTACCCAAACTTTTGTATGAGCAGGTCTTGTAATACCCAGAAAGCAACGGTTATGGGTTGCAAATTACAACGTGCTTCGGGAGATGCGCAAATTGCGAATAGGCTACTTCCGAGTTGTACCAAGTCTCGTTTTGAGAACGAGTGCAAATGGGTTGTCTTTTCTGGATGAAAAGCTTTCCATCCCCATTTTATTATAACTCATTTTCATCTAAAAGGTCTTTCATTTTGCACCTTCCTCTTAAGAAGTAGCGAGCCTAAGCAACGACGACGACAACAACGTGAACGTAAAAAATCGACAGGTTTACTCAGCAAAACAACAACTTTACGGAAATCTTAAGCTTGACATGTCTCATTGTCCTAACGGAACGCACAAAAAAAAACCCAACAACAACAACTTGTCGCATGGTGCGATTGATTTGCCAAAATAATAGCCTGCATAGCTGGCGGTTTGTTTGACATAGGCCGTTAGCGGTCGTCCCTCTTTTCTCAGAGTCGCGTGCGGCGGGCAAAAAAGTAAAATTATGCAAATGAATGGCAACAAAGGAGGAGAGATTGGGGTGGGGAGAATTTTTTCTTAGGTCGGGCTCAGTCCTCGTTTCTCGCGTCTTCACCGCTCGCCCTCGCGCGTGCCCTCGTTTCTCGTGCTCGCATTCTACCGTGTCTTAAAAGAAAAATAAGAGACTGCTCGTAGTCTTGTTTGACAAGAAGGAAATAAACTTCGAAACCGTACGCGATTCCTGTTCCATTCTCCTCTCAGCTTCACTGTTAATTCGCGCGCTCGACAGACAAAACCTCCAGCTAGGCAGGCTACCCTTCAACCCCCTAAAAAAGAAACTATACATAAATAAATAAAATCAAAACAACAGTAGTGTTGCAATGTGAAAAGTTTTATTTTGTTTACAATTATGCAGTTACAAGTACAATTTTACAATTATTGTTTACTTTTAAGTATTGTAAATATCAAAATACTTAAACCCAACATATCTGGCATGGACCTTTTACTTGCTCAAAATCGCTCGTGTCTTAAAGCCGGGCACATAAGATGGGATGGCCGACTCTGAGCTCACGAACTGTAAGCGACGCCTTGTGATCCGCACTTTTGTCCTAGAATCAGTCACCGATCATGGGAGAGAATGCAAACGAGCCTACTTGGAGCACGTCCACAGGAATCTTTTGGCTTAAAACTACGTTAACATTTAAAGGCGCGAATATGCTTTTAAAACACTTATTAAGGCTATTTCTACATTATACCGGATAGTTCTTGTGCTGGCACGAAAGCCATACCATGCCAGATAGGGCTTCTGTTCACACATTAGAAATGAAAGGCGATTAGTAAGCGGAGCGAACCTGCGCCGCGCTGATCTTGAAAGTGGATCGTCTATCGGATAGGTTTCTTTCTGCAGCTCTTCGTGCCAGTGTGAACAGCGTACATAGATACCGGGCCGAAGCATTTCTCATGTCGACATGATAAGCTACAAAGTGAATTCATGGCCAGAAATCGCGGACACGAAGCCCGCGTAACGACAGCGGCATTCTCCTATTTCGTAGACAAACATGGCGATTTGAATTACAAAGAAATGTATGGAGCGAACATTATACTTGAGGATAGAAAAAGTTTTTGCATACCTGTAAAATTTGTGAAGTCGGGATTCATTGGTAGAAAGTATCCGTGATCACAGCGTATGCACATTTAGTCTATACAATTCTGTAAACACCGTCCTTTTGAGGCTGACTGTAGCTGTCATGTCGCTCTCTTAATCCTTCTATTTTATGTGGTAAATTGCTTAAATATCAGTCTTTCACCTCGGCTGGTCGCGTTTGTGGCCGATTGTTTGATTTAGTGAAGTTCATTCCTGAAATTCAACCTCGTGGGCCACGTGTATAATTTTCAGCTAAATTCGAAACGATTAACAGCGTCCTTTTTTGTGATAAAAACACGACCGAAACATAATCTAGCTCCATTGGAATCTCACGCTAAAATCCCCAAAATCCACAGTTAAACAGCGATATTTCGGCCTTCCTTTGCTTAATTTTGCCCCAACACCCATACTTCGAAAGCTTTTTTCATGGCCAACCTTTTGTGGTTGCCTGTTTTGGCAATACTTCCAGTCAACGGTATTAATTTGGCACAAAACAAGCACGTATTCCACGTCTCGATCTGTCCCGAAGTATGAGCCCGTCACGCAACTAAAAATCAGCGGTTAAGAGCATTATTAAACAGCCCGAGTGTAAGACGCAGGGAATGCGATGTCTGTGATTTCTGGCCATGGTGGTAGTTCTAGTAGTGCTAAAATACGCTTTCTTCGAGGGTCTTTCCGCAATATAAATTAATGATTTAAATATGAATTTCCTCATATTCCATGAGTGAAACTGACAAAATAGATGGTAAAATAAAGAAAACTCTATGAGTATCTTCCTTACGTTTGTCACACTTCGTCAGTTCGCACTTGACCAGTTTTTCTTAAGGGGCCCAATGCAAAAATGCCTGCTGGATTAATATTCCATTATTTTAATTAAAATTAGCCTAACTGGCCTTGCTTGAGATAATGCGTTCTTTTGAATTTTGTGCTGAAGAACGTGGCTAGTCAGCCTGAGGCTAATTTTAATTTTAACAAAAGAACATTAATCCAGAAGCCATTTTTGCATTGGGTCTATGCAAGCCTAAAATACATCATTATTTTTAAGGTTGGACTGAGTCACTCCAAATCTTGAAAATTCCGGCTCAAGGGACGACTGCTGTAGAACAGATTTGTCAGCCCTCATTTTTTACCCCCCAAAAGACACTGCCTACCTTAACCTGTAACTTAAAATATGTTCTGGCATTCATTGGCCATTTCTGAGTAATTACGAATGATTAAGGATAATTTGCTGTAGAGTTCTCTCTTGTCGAACCATCCTTTCAATGAGAAGAACAGCGGGCAGAGGCTGACAACTGAAGCCCCGACGATAAGGGCTATAAAAAGCGAGAAAGTATTGTGTTAGACTGAAATGTAGGGACAAACGTTTGTTTTGGTCGGTGGGACTGAAAAAGAAAAGACTCTGAAGCAGTCCACCTAAGAGTTGTGAACTGATCTTTAAAAGCATTTTTTTTTTGAAGTTTAAGCATTCACCACGAAAACAAATCTGTGCTTCTTACTTTCGGGTACCTTCAGTTCAACCACTAAATAGAGAGAAGAAGTCGTAGTTATGTCACGTTGCCATGGTAGCAAAATTTCTGGATGACAACAAACCGAAAAACGCTACTTTTAAAAAACTGTTTCAGACTCCATCGATCTCGTTCACTTTCAATTAATTTGTGAAATGTTGGCTAAATTTTCTGGGGTTGAATTCGAAAGGACCGTATTTAAGTTTAGAAAAAGGAAAAAAAAATAAAGTTGTGTTCACCTAGTTTATAAAGCGGACGCGTAAAACTGGGAAGTTTCACGTCGTAGTCGTGCTACGACGGCTAAGAAATGTAGAAAAAAGTGTGATGCACGTGCAAAGTTGTTAATTTGCTAACATAAATTTTTTGCTTTTTTGCCGTTCTTGTTGCCGTCGCTGTCGTCGTTGCTTAAGCTCCCTATTGTTGTGATCCAAAGATTTAAGCGACCATGGAGCCATGACGTCACACTTCTCTTCTCTATTAAACAAAGCCAAGTAAAAAATCCTTTTTTATGATCATGACGTCAGCTACGAGTCTGTTTAGGTTAAATCAGTATCAAATTCTTTTTCAGATTGAGACTCGAAATTGGTACTTAACATTTTCCCCGTTTCCACTACAAACAATTTTTCTGGAATTTGACCAAGAGAGACGCACTGCTTCCTACTGTATGACTAAACATTAGATTAAGATGCCCCCGGTAAGCTACTGATTAAACGCTAGGCTTATATTCATTCGTTTGCCATAGGACAGTTAAAGCACAAGATTACAGACATTACAATGAAGCTTTCGCTAGATCTAGCATTCCTCCGATAGGTTCTATTAATGGACTGATCCTTTCAAAAGTAAATAGGCTACTTGCATCAGATTCAAATCTTTAAATTCCTATATATGCATTGAAAACTTGGTAAAGACTCGAAGGTAGTTACTGTTAGTTGGCTTTACTAAAATAATTACTAGAGTATTCATTTCCTTTTTCTTAGAGTGAAACAGTATCAATTAGCTTACAGCCTACTTGTGAAATAGAATCTGTTGGATAACGTTTGACCTGGCTCGACTTTAGGTGGATCGACAGGTGAGGAAGCCTTAACTTACTCGCCTTACGACACAGAAGTCAGATAAAGATTATAATGCTAGACCTCATGCCTTCCTTAAGACTCACACTCGTCTTTGACTCATTTCTGTACAACAACACGAGCCCATTTTCACGGTGGTTTATTTTACCGTAACTATCAACTGTAATTATGATTTGTCTTTTCTCTCTAGTATTTGATTTCTTGGGAAAAACGTGCCTGTGGAGCCTTTTGACAAAAGGAAGGCGTTAAGGGTTTTTTCAGCATTCAACCAGCAAGTTTTTACTTGACAGTTGAGGAATCTGTTTAAGCTCTTAAAATGTTGCTGATCGTATTATCAAACGCATGCTAACGGTAAATTACAAGTACGTCTGAAAGAGACTAAGCTTTTACTGAATTAAGGTATCCTCGAACAATGAGGGAAACAACATATTCAAGGCGAAGAAAAAATCATCGAGTCATTCATCGCAATTGTTAGCTCAACATTTATAGATTATAGTTAACAAACATACTATACTTGGAGACTTGGAGGTACTAGCCTGTTCCAGGCATTCACATGATGGAGAATGTCGCGAAATTGCTAGTGGAGAGTTTGCTTTGCGTCGCGTGAACCCACCATATGAACGCATGGAAGAGGGTACAGAGGCAACCGATCGTCTGCTTCTTAATATGCTTTATGCCTATAATTATCCATTTTTAACTCTTCAGTATGAGTGCGAATATAACGAGAAATGAGCGAACGAAACGAACTCGTAGTCGACGTTCCCGTAGTCAATGCCAAATCTCTCTATTGGCAAAGGGGATCTATCGTTCTTTTCGTGAAATTTGTCTGCCGTCTCCGCGATTAGCCGGCCCCCTGGTTGTTCAAGGATGCAAGCATACAAACTTTACTGTTACGAAACTATGGTCACCCAGGCTTGAAAAAGGCCGAGGTAAGAAACTAATCACAAGAAAACAGAAAAGACAAGGCTCGTGAGACGCATTTTTGGAATTTTTATCGTCAGCGAAAAAAAAAACTGGCAGTCAATCTTAAGCCCCATTCACACCAGAGCTTAAACATGTTTAAAAGCTGTTTAGTTACGCTCGTTTTAATTTTTTTGTTATAAAAGCTGCTACTGTACTTTTATTGATGGGAAATTTAGCGCAATGTTGTAGCATGTTAAAAATCAATTTAATTCTGTGTAAAAACTTGAATTCTAGTGTTGCGTTACTGTTTGTCATATTTTATTAACCTAGTTTTATTAAACATGTTTATTTAGTTGTTGTGAATGGGGCATTAGTTGTGTTTAACTTTCTAAGTAACTGCTTTTAACACAGTTATGTTGACAAAGACATCACGTGCTATTAGTCCAAATTAGGTAGTACACCAGTCTTATAGCCTGTAACTACAGTATTTAGTCTGAGACTAAATCAGACTCGCTACACAACATTCAAGTCGCCCATTGTCTCCTTCAAATCGTCAAGCAGTGGATAATTTTCTTTGATCCTACTTCTTAGTATTCTTAGGTCAGCCTGTAGGCTATTGATCTCGAACACACATGCTTCATACTTACGGTTGATGGAATAAACTGCCGTCAAGGCCCCTACCGCTGCACCTAGCATGGCTCCTTTAGCAGCAACGTCTACCAATTGTTGACTTCCCATGAGAATCTCCTTAGCTGAAAGGCAAAACACACACTCAGATAAATTATTTTATAAGTTAATCAATTATAAATGTTAAGTAAAACTCGAAAGCTTAAAAGCGTCCAGATCAACAATAAACATCATGCAATTACTAAATCAATTTGAATTTATTTGGCAATGCCGTGGTAATGTATTACAATAAAAGACAAACGTGCGTTCCGTAATATCCATTCCGTATGAGTGATTTGACATATCTATTCTTAATTACACCTTACATTCTTATACTCTACTGTGTGATTTGTATATATTAAACGTGTTTTTTGTATTTATTATGATTGAAAGAAAACTCTTTGAAGCTTCACAGTGTCACAAGACTGAGTTCCACCGCGGTCAAACGTCCAAAGTGTTAACTTTTTCTACATTATTGGTGGGATGTACTTATAAGTGTAAAAATGGGCAAGGATGTATAAATTGATTCGTTGACCTAATTTTCTTTTTGTTTTTCTCAAAGCCTGAAGTTTTTTTTGTCGAAAGCATTTCATGTCCGAGTAAAATCAGTAAATTGGCTCCGGCAATCGATGACACCAGCTTCTTCAAACACTCAGAAGTTTATCTTCGTAAACTTTCAAAAAGCTTAGAAAACTAACCGGATGTTTGTAATACCTTAAAATTTGACAATGAAAGTAACAACCTTAGCTTCGAAGTACTTTGCTTAGCTTTTGAAAATTTCTCTCTTGAAGGACTGAGTATGTATTCAACGAAAACTGAATGATCTACTGTCAAGCTGTCCTACGATTTACTCACCTACTCCGCAAGCTGCGCCAACGCCTGCCCCTATCAGTGCTGACGCACCTGCGGCTAAAACGCCTTCCTTTGTTAAGTAGGTTTCAAGCTCCGACTGAAGAGACTTCAGGGCTCTATCTGCGTCTTTGTACTTGTCCTCAGTTGTTTTCAAATCTCTTTTGAAATTCCTCATTAGCATTTTCAGCTCAAACTTTTCCTCTGCGGTTAGTTTGTATTTTCGGGGTTTAGATTCCCTGATCTGCGTAAGGATTTGTAAAGAAAGAGAGTAAATTCAGCGAGACTGAATTTCATAAACATACGAGGGTTAAATGGAATGATGACTGCCTGGGTAACATGCATGATCGGTGCACCTTCATGTACAAAAGAATCGATCGTTTTATTAATTAACATTTAAATCCTTATAAACCTGGAATATTTGGAATAATTTGTATTCTTTTTTGAATTTAGGCAATTCTGTGGCGGATACCACAATCGTAGTTTTGCATAATTTCTCTAATCTTATTATTCATTCAAAATGTTTCGTTCTTTCTAATCGGCTTCTTTATTACCAGTTAGTGCTGATCAAATTTGGGAGTTGCAGGTAGTATTCAATCATTGACGTCAGTCCATGCGACATCAATGATTGGCGAGAAGTGCAACTAACACAGCGGCGTGGCAGCTCAGCTGCTTTGGTCATAATGGAATAAGCGCAAAACTAACAGAATGTTTTAAAGACAGTCGTCCTTCGACGTCGATGGATAATCCCCTCCTCGATCTACAAAATTCTTCATATCAAAACTAGCCTCTTTCAATAATATTATTAATTATCATGTGTGTGAAATATTTCCTGTCAAAAGTGCTTTATGTCCTTATTGCTATCATTACATTAATTTGATCTAACATTTATTATGTGGCTGACTGTATTAAGAAAATCAACAGGGAATAAACTTATGATCGAGCTGACGGTTTTACATCTTTGGGAGGATGAGTCTGCCTGACATTTTTGGAAGTGCACAGTTGTCAGCCATCCTTGGTACGGAGAATTCGCTACAGGACGCATCTTATTACGATGTATGAAGTAAACACAAATACCGTAAATGACCTAATAAACACCCGAGGCGTCTATTTAATTTAGGGGTCCAAGAGGGGGCGTTTAATCTGAATCATAGCTGTAAATGAATGAATAAATAATTCCTTTATTTACCCTCGGCAGTATTTATAGCACTTATGCTAGTGGGGCCGAGCAAGTGACTGAAAAATATAATCCAAATTTATCATTCATTCAAAATATTTCCCCAATTCTGATTGGCTAAAAGAACACGCATAATTCACTATAACCAGTTACTGATGACCAAATTTGAAAGAATTTTGTGTTTAACGAGGAAATGACGTAAAAAATGCAGCCTTCTTCAAGTTAATGCACCGTTAACCGAGAAGACCTGGGGACGAGGTTGAGTTGTTTTGGTTGTGAACTTGAAAAATGGCGGACATTTCACTCGTTTTGAGAGTAAGAACTAGGCGAAAAAATAGCTAAAAACATGGCAAGAACAGCAAGAAGACAACTCGAAGGGCGACATCTGCTATTTGGAGAATATTTGCGGAGCTGAACAACCCTAAACGTGCACTATCGAAGACGAACTGAACATCGATGGATCGATGGAGCTAAGCATGTTTAGCCATGTTTTTAAACTAGGAATTATTTTGAATGAATAATAAAACAATTATTGAATTCGGTTTTCGTATCATGTGAAGAATTATGGCGATCTCGAAGGGTGCTATCCGCCTCGGTCTACGACCTCGAGGGATAACACCCTCCCCGATCTCCATAATTCTTCATAAGATTCTCAGCCTCATCCATTAATTGTTAAATAATCAAACATAACAGGGTTAAGAATCCCAACTGGCCGGAGTCAAACCAGCTGGCTATTTAAGCATGGCCGAGGGATTTGAACTCGGGACTAACGTGAACAAATCCAGCTAGCGGTCAGAGCGGGACTTGAACTTGGGGCCTCCGAATTGCAAGTCCAGCGCTCTAACCACTCGGCCAAGCTGCCTCCCACAAGCTCAACCAAACCAATAAGCATTCGGCAAAAATATTATGAGAGTTTAAAAAAGAAAAATATCCAGTCCATCAATTGATACATCTAGGCCGTCTAAAGATCCATATCTCTCTATCAAACCCCAACATCGATGTCAGAATCTTCTGTCAGGGTTACTTTCAATTGTTGCCATCGTTAGTCTATCCTTACTCTTAACTTGACGTTAAACAAGATAAAACACGAAAGCCTTTTTAATCAAACAATAAACCGAATGAATGGAATGATTTTGCTCATTTGGAGTAATCCAGATAAGGGGCCTCTTTAAGACAGGGGCCATTTATATTATTAGAGAGGGGCGTCCAATACAATTTCAACAGCGTAGAGGGGGGCGTTTATTAGATAAGAGGCGTTTGTTTGAAGTGGGCGTTTATTAGGTCATTTACGGTACACACACCTCACACACTCACGAAGATGAATTTTCCCATAGCTTTTTCTGAACTTGAATACAGTACTTTAGATTCGTTTAACACCATGAGAATTCGCCCTCTTTTGACAAAAATATCCAGCTCACCGGAATAATCTCGGTTTGAAGGGTTTAAGCAAAAAGCACTGACAAAACAATTTAAGTTCTGATAAAAAGAATAGGTGTCACCTAAAACTGGAAACAAAGGGACGGCAACTACCTGTTACCTACCCTTTCAAGCGCCTTTCGAAGGCTGACGTGGCATGATGACAGCGCGGCAAAAATGACTTGTAGGAGCTCATTAAGTACGTGATAAATATTTAACGCAAAAGTCTTTAAGAAAAGTACTTGCCGTTGTCCATATCTCTGTCGCTATATCATCTAACCCCTGGAGCTTTTTTTCCATGGACTCGAAATAATTTCTTATCTCCCTGACATAGGGATGTAATCTTTTAGGTAGTTCCTCTTTCTCCATTTCCTGGATCGTTTTTTTAAGATTTGCGTGGCAACATTTCAGCAGCATGAAACCACCACACAGCACAGAGTAGCACAGGTTTTGTATCAAACCATCTTCCAAGTTGTGCTTTAGAACGTCTTGAAAGCCTTCCTTTATGTTGCCCAAGACCTCAAATGTGTTGGTGAATTCTTGCCCCATTTCACTAACGATCTTTGCTGCAGACTCCAGGGTATTTCCAATTTCCATTGTCTTACCTAATATGTCCTGCAAAAAGGCAAGAGTAAACGGTACTATAAGCTTTATCATATTAAAAAATAAACAGTTTTGATTTCGTTCTGTAAAAAGGATGTCGTTTGCTCAGAATATCGTAGGCTGTGTCAAGGCAGATCATTGTAACAATTTGATTTGCCGGAAAAAATATGTAGGGCATAAATATCTACCCGTGCGGGTTAGCCCAGGTTTGATGTATTAAAATTCTAACATGACTCGAGGCTTTATGGCCATATTTCTATATTTGGTTTAGTTATTTTTGTTGTTTTTGTGCTTAAATCTCTTACTGGAATTGCAAGACGATGGAGTCGCGAAAAAGTAAAGCCTCTGAGTCATGTTAGAATTTTTTTGTTTATTGAACGTGGGCTATTCGATAAGGGAAGCACGGGAGCAAACTAATCGCCGCCCGCCTATGCACCGCTGAAACTGGATTCCTTGTTGTATGTCTGTGCCACTGCTAAAACTTTCAAAATATTTTGCTTATACAATCACTTTTTGCCTGAAGCCACATACTTTTTAAAAAAAATAACTAAATAGCTTGTCGACGTGATATGGACATTTAATTTTATCAGTAACACGGCGTCCATGACTAAAGAGCGTTTCTAAGTGACGTTATAGCGCTCTATAGTTGCGCAGATGGAAATTCAACATCTGCTTCTCTTCGTAGATTCCAGCTTTAAATTCTTTATTTCCTAGTTATATACTACCACTTAATTTACTTTTGTCTTAGAACTGTGCTTTCTTTATTTAGTCTATTGGGATAAGTGTGGTTTCTTGGAATAAGACCTTGACAAATGTTTCGCATCACTTGATTGATGCATGATTTGCAAATTTCCAGAGTGCAGCGATTTCCAAAATATAACCTTACATGTCAGAGAAATTATAATTTTCAATTTTAAAATGCTGACTAAAAACTCCTAAAATAGGATTTCCGCGTTGTGTTGACAAGAACGTTTACAAATATATCCCTGAGAAATAGTGATTTCAAGTAAATATTCCGTTGATCAGTTGTAACAAAAATTCGCGGTTAGAAATAACAAGAACTTAAGTGGGATATTAAAAGCCTGAAACTCCACACATGCTACTGTTAGATACTGAGAATAATACAAGTGACATCTTAAAATATATAATTCGTTCATTGTGTTAGTTTGAGCCTGTTTTCAGCCTTTGGACGGAATGCAATTTCTTTGGAGTGAATCTTGTGTATGAACATCTTCAGTTTCCTTGAATGAGTGATTAGGGAACCAATACTAGCGGCTAAATAGCTTACTCTATAAAAGGTCTCCTTTAGATTTTTTTATTCGGATTGAGCCATTTCATAATTTTTCTAAACCTTACGAACATACAGGTGGCTATCGAAGGTAAACGCTCTGGAAATAAAGACTACCAATTCCGAGAATCATGGCGATCGTAAGTAAAATAGTTAAAATGTAAATCGCTGCTGTTTCCGCGGCTTAATCATTGGTAAAGAGACAGTATGAGATCATGTCAGTCATGTTCAATGGTCTGAACATTCCTAGGGCAGGAGATTTTGAAAAGAAAAATGTTTAAGAGGGAAGGTAATTCATGTTAGGATTTGTATCACGAGAAAAAAGGCCGAAACAACCCTCTTATGAATATTCGTTATTTTACACTATCGCTTGTTTGATATCTAAGGGGCACCCAACGCCTGTTTCCTCCTAAAACATTGAAAACACTTTTTGGGCTGTGCAGAGTACTTTTAGATGTCTAGAAATGCATTCTAAACGGGGCTATAAAATTTGTATCTATTCGGTCATCCTAGGAGAACTTGAGCCTTCGAAATTAAAAGGGCCTCAGTATTCATTTCCCTCCAAATTTTAGGTATTACGTTAGGAAGTGAAACCCTTTTTTTTAGATTCTTCTCTCCATCGCACTTTTCAATTCGAAAATTTTAGGTTTCCATTTTTCTACAAAAAAATAACCCAACTTGGGAAGTGAAATGTGAAAATTAAACTTCAGAAAATCGTTGGGAATTTATCAGATAAGCTTCGAAAATTGAACATGAATGGAACGGTCACGTACAAATTTATAGGCGTTCTCAAGTAATAGAAAGTCCTAGGCAATATTTACTTCTCCGAACAGATGTTTTACAGAAAACAGTCGTTGGTTGCCGCTGATATCTCTCTTCTATGCCTTTCTACAGCAATTAAAGGAAAGGGACTCTCAGATCGTTGTTCTCACGGACGAATAACAGTTTTGTATCCAGAGCCGAAAAAAGCAAAGCGGGTCACCTGCTGTATTATATTGTGATCAGGATGTACGAGAGGTCCGGAGAACTAAGCATTTCTTCGCTTGTTAACCTGCAGTCCAGTTTAAAATCATTGATCGTTTTCGTGTTGGATTTTAGTGATCTAGTACTTCCTGAGAGAAGTCGAAAGTATCCTAATCAGGTACTGATTCAGTCTTGATTCATGTCCCTCTGTGATACATTATAGTTCGCTTTATAAACTCTACCTCGGTGTTTGTGGATGCAATTTAAATTTCAGTTTTAATTTCATCTTAGCTGGATGACGAGATTGTTCCTCCAAAGGAAAATTTTTTTAATAACTATAATAGAAGACTGAAAAACTTCGAAAGAGTTTCTACGAACAGCAGGGTACGAAGAAATGGTGTTGGTCTTCTAAATGTTTACAACCTTACCGCACCCAGAAAGCACGTGACCTTGATTGGGCACCTGTTTAACTGGAAGAAACTGAATTTTCTCTTGAAATTAAGGCATCCGGCTTTTCTCGGAAATCCAACAAAAGTAAAGTTTTTATTGATTGGAAGTTTATAACCTCAAAAATAAGCGCGCACTCTGATTGGTCAATGAGCTTTTTACTATTCGTCCATGGTTGAACGCTGATGAGAGCTAGAGCGCCGCCGTCTCGTTTTATCCTTGGAAGGGTTTTAGAGTCTGCATTGAGACAGAACGCACTTGATGCAGCGAAAGATTTCTTCATCGATCGCGAGAAGTCTTTGTTAAACATGATTTGTACATTACACAGCGCGCCACCGACAGAACTCTCGTCATCTTGCTTCTTCGAGTAAGCTATCTTAAATGCTTTTATTTTAAAATATATTACATAACAAATGATAAACGGAGCCCTCAGCGTGTAATAATAAGTTTTGGACGAACCTTAGCACTCAAAAAGCTATAATCGTCTTTTGCGACTCGTATACTTCTATCGCACTTAGCGACTTCCCGTGTGTATCAGTAACTCAATAAAACATTCTAGTAAGCTGTTTATCTCTGCTAAATGAAAGAAACACCTTAGAATGATATCAAAGTTAAACTTAAGAATCTGAATGTTGTGTAACTCGGTGATAAAATTCAAATTTTCTTTGAATTTATCAGGTAATAATCAATACGAGATTTAAGAAGATTGAATGTATCTCTTTTCTATATATTTTATTGTACCCCAGATCAGATATGCTATACAACTTGAATTCTGCGAAGGCAACAAATGTGCTATACGTGTGTATTAAACTTGCTGCCAGATTACAGTTGATAAAGTAACCTTGCCTTTATAGTCCCTAGTCTTCATAAGTCTAAGTCAGTCCCGCAGTCCAAGCTTGTGACCGGGCGCCTCTTAGCAAGCTACTGAAATGTATGAACATGAACAAGCCCTGGAAAAACGACGTACATGCAGGGAATAGGAAAAAATAGCATGTGCCAGCCCTGAGAAGCGGCCCTCTAGCAATAAAGGTTGAAGTGTACGCTTAGTAAACAACGCGTGGAAGCGCAGTAACGCAGCTACGGTTCTGGAAGCCGTATAACCCTGCATGACCGTGATTTGCGGCTTTCGTCAAATAAATACTTGAGTCATGAGGAGCAAGACGAATGCCTGGGTTAGATAAGTACCAACCTGACACAAGTACTAAGGAAAAGATATCATTGGTAACTATAAAGGACTAGTCTCATACTAAATAACTTTCTCTTAATCCGCTGGTTAATTATTCGGATATACTATGTTTTCCAAATGACTTTTTAGCGAAACCAAATGAATTCTTCAAAATTCAAGTTAAGCGCTTTTAATCTTAACTGACTTAGGAGCAGAAAGCAAAACAGTCTCCATTGGAAGTTGTTGAGATAACAACTAACTGCCTAAAACGCTTATTTTCAGTGAAATCATCACACTTTCCTGTACTTTACTGTTACCCAGAGACTCAAATAGAACCCACTAGCTATAGATATATTAAGCTGAGACTGTTTTGTAAATTTTTGAAACTTGTCTCTTAATACTCACCACTCTCGTCGCAAAACGTTGAATCCGATGGAACCGAAACGAATAAGCTGCTATCGTAAGATAATGTAGGTGTCCAGGCTGGAGAATTATATCTATTCGCTTGATAATAACCACTGGATACTGAAGTCAATAAAGTTTTCGTCCGCGATTATAGTGATTAGTGACTTAATTATGAGCCGCCGTTGCTGAGAAAAGTAAAACATCGTTCTCTACGGTGATACACCATTGCCCTATGAAGGTAATTGCTTCTCTTTTCGTCGCTTTTATATCTTGTAACCAAATGACTCATTTGAAAAAGCGGAAAAGTGCTTGAGCCCTGTGTACGTTCTCCCATTCTACGCCGATAAAACGTTGCTGTCTCAGTTTCGTTTGATTTTCTGAAATGTTGTCTCTGTCGAACTACTTTCTGTCGCCTTATAGCTTTAAGAAGGAAAATATTCACTTTATAGTGTCCACAATTAGCTTTTAGCTAAATACCTTGACACTTTAATAAAGTTTATGTATGTATGTATGTATGTTTCTACGAAATACCGTGGCCTCGATAACGACTAAAAAGTAACTATTACTTCTGCAACTCGCGTACTTAAGTTCAAAGTGGGGTATCGCAACCAGTTCTGTCGCAACTATAAACGAACGAAAGCGTGCCGACTGCAAATTGGCGAAAAGCGCGAGTTCAAATTCATGTGGCGAATCCCGCTTTCTAAGAGGTAGCTTCTTGTTTGAATT